TATACGTCCGTGCTCGAGAGAAGTATTAAACGTGAAGCATCCCATCTAACGCAAGGGAAGGGTGGCATTCGAATTCAATTTAAAAAAACTCACCCACAAGGCACCAAATTAACCTTCAAATCTGAAGCGTCGTCTAGTCAGTGTGCATTGGTCTGCCGACTCTGCGAATGTTAAGCATTCTTTGGCATAACTTATGTACTTGCCCATCTGAGTGTGAGCCTTAAGTAGACGCTGCCTGGCATTATTGTGCGATTGGTGTATTTCATTGGCTGACAGAATATTGAGCGTCGGCACCAACCGACCGCTAGAGGGCACCAGCATGAAACCACGAGGGAGCCGTGCAGTGGAGCCCCTGCTAGTTGGCCCCAGAGACCCGTAGCCTGCAGCGCCGGCGCAGTAGGTTTGCTTGCTTTGTTTTGGCGCCGTTGCTAAGGACATAACAGTGTGTGTTTTGTAAGAGTACGACTAGGTTGTGTTTTATGAAATGAACGGCGGAAGACGCCCCTGGAAACCCAAAAAATCGTGCGTCACCTTCATTTTGTCAGGTGTGTAAGAATCCATAGACGGTATATGTTACAATGTAAAGCCAAAAGGTCACGCAGCCTGGCAGCTTCTGCAACCCTCGCTAATATTTAGGAAATTTCTCCCGGAGATGGGTAAATGAATTTCATCAATGACCTTTCATGTCAGGCGTTGTCGTACCTAGGTCTCCTTTTAAGCTTATTCATACACGTTTGTTTCCACTCCCCGTGCTTACGTTTACCTGAAAATGATATTGTAAAACGTTGAAGATTTACCTACCTGTAGTCGATGGGTTTCAGGTTACAGTGGACATAAAGCAGGTTAAATAGAATATTAGAGTCTTTCTGAAAAGTAGATTACTGCGTGTGAGTCTGTCCCATACAAGTGAAGTTCCAAAACCTCGCCAGGCCTAACCCTGGGAGATAACATTTTACCCAAAACTGCGACCCCAAAGGTCATAGGCGTTGGTACGGCTTTTTTCGAGAAAAATTGGTCAAGTATCAGTGCAGACTGCATGTGCCAAAACATGCTGAAAAAGCGCTACTATTATCGCTGCAGTCTCTCTGGTAAAATCCAGAATCTACGAGAATTGAGGTTTGATTTCCGATGCCACATCAAAGTACAGGCAAAGCACTACATTTTGCCGGGCACTCTACGTTCGGCCTGCGTCCCTTGTCAAACAAGGGGTGCGTCATTGTCGCCCTCGTCATTGGGATCTGCAGCCTATATACTCTAACTAGAGGTAGAAACTCCAATAAGCGTCCATTGTGTTAGCAATTGCTACGTACTCTAGTAAGCACCTGCACGCCTGTTGTTACTGCCCTATTGATGAGTAATAAGACAAAGCAGAGAAACTCATCACTTGCTGAAGCGAAAAAGGAAAATAGGACACACAATTTGATCACAGTGTCAAGCTTACGGCTCCTATACATATACACGGATCAGCTTATATCTGGAGGTGACCTCATTCACCGTGACTGCTATGGTTTCACGTGACAACACGCATCACCAGTCGTTGTGCAACGTGATTTGATCACGCAGGTTGTGTGCGTGCAAGGTGTGGGCCTACTGTTCACACTTGAGGCGCGCCATTATAAAACACAGTCCAAAATTGGATAGAAATAGCCGGTCTTGAGTTTTTCGGTGGGAGTTAAAAATTTTATGGCCAGGACGCCTATTTTCTCTTCAATTTCCTAATCGTTAATTAGCTTACTTTTCAGCTAATCTTTTTTACATTGTAAAAATATGCGCTCATTTCTGATACCAGCTGCACGCCTACTGCTAGCAAGATTGGTTCACGTGTCAAGTTGATTGAAGTTAACCAAGCTTGAGGCCACAAGTCCCATATTCATGATTCGTAGAGAAATCTCTATGATCGGTCCCGATTATGGCACCTATTTTTGTAAATAAACAGAGCAATCACAAAATATTGATGAGTTGGCACGTAAAAATCTTGCGATTTGTTGAAATATCCTCCGCTAGATGTGGAAACTAGAGAGGGCGTGTTTTTAATGACGGCCTGTATTAATGTTTCTTTGGAACAATCCAGCGAGGCTGGCAAATGTTAATACTGTTCAGCTGTTTTTTGCCTGTCTAAATTTCACCAAGACTGTAAGGCAATGCAACTATTTTCTTAGTTTTCGCAGAGAAGTTTGGAGACTACAGTCCTATTAACTTTCACCCGTGTCGGTTTACGGGGTCTCGAGTCGCGTGGTTATTTGGGAGCCGGTGGCCAGCCGCCCGAACTCAGCCTAGGTGGTGCCTTGTCTGTTGTGGATCCAAAGGAAAATTCTAATCTGAAGCATAACTTAACAGATTAATTATGTTGATCAAAGTCACATTCTGTATGCTTTTAAGTATGAGGAATTTTGTACCAAGATCACTGTGTATGGAAGAACGGGCAGCTTTGGGGGCAGTTATGGGAAGAGAAATGAGTGAAGTGAAGGAAGCTGATTTCAATATATATTGTACATGAATCTTTGATCGATGATGCAGTGGAAGCCTTGCATTACTTGTGCATAAAATCACTCCAGTCAAAGAAGTTTATAATACACATGTACACGTACCTCTATGTATTCTTTCCAAAGAAAAATAATCATTGTTATTAAGTGTAGGTGAAGAGCAACATAAATCCCTTGATACTGTGGCGCCGCGCCCCTCCGACGAAAGCAAGGGCGCCCTCTTCCTCGAGGCGCGGTGCGTCGGACGGCACGCCGGAGAGTCCCTGAGCGGCTAGGGACGAGTCCGTTGGGACCGAAGTATACTGTCCCCCAAGAAAGTTGGTCTTCGTCGAGATGATGGCTAATCTGATTGGTCGAGACTTAATGACGTAACCTGGACAGACCTGACTTGAAATAAACTTCGCCTGGACTCCTGACTTATATACAACAATTAACAAGCGGCTGGTTTACTCATCAACACACTCAACCAATACACCAGTAGAGGGCGCTGTTGACGGGGAAACTGCGTGATTATACGTGACTGGACTTGTACTTCGCCCAGAGCAGCAAACACCACAATTAATTGTGGGCATCCAGTGCCAAATCAGGGACTTTAGCAAGTCTACGGGGCTTATTGTCAGGGCTGCGCTACACGCAACTCACGTCACGAGATAGCAATCCGCCCTTGCATCGACCGCAATCTCCTATCAGGAACTATACCGCACCACCAATCAGCCCCTCAACCTACCGAGCTTCTCAACAGCACACGCACCACTCAGAGTACTTAGGCACAGTCACACGAAGCTAGGTGACTTTAACCCATGCACAGGATTCTCGACCCTTACCTCAGGATCAGTCCTTTATCAGGACCATGCCACTAGTCTTAGCCTAGCGCCTACGCGCGCCTTTTATAGCTTTCGCGCTGCTATGACCACGCCCGCGCACGCGCTCACGTGATTAAGCAGTGACTTCCGCTGCCCTATCGCACAATGCACAAGGCGTAGCCTATGCGCCGCGCTTGCTTAACACACAGCTTATGCGCGCCTAACATCTGCCTCTGTTACTGGGCAGAGCCACGGACGTCATATAAAAAAAATCTGGACTCGCAATGCAGCCAATCAGCACGCGTCAAGCGTTGAAGCTACCGGAGGTGGAGCGGCGGCCATCTTACCGGGCCAAACAAGCGCGAAATTTAAAGGCCCAAAACATTGCATAATCGCTGCGCGCGCCTTTTAAAGCTTTCGCGCTGCTATGACCACGCCCGCGCACGCGCTCACGTGACTAAGCAGTGACTTCCGCTGCCCTATCGCACAACGCACAAGGCGGAGCCTATGCGCCGCGCTTGCTTAACATGAACACACAGCTTATGCGCGCCTAATATCTGCCTCTGTTATGGCAGAGCGTCATCTATATCTTTGCACCGCGCCTAGTGACTAGCGCCCTCTGTCACGTCACAATACAATAGAAGCTGGAGAATTTATGCACACCAGTGTCCTCATTTGACCATCATAATTTATGTTTTAATGAAAGAAAATGTACTTCATTTGTATGTCTACTTGAAAATTTGTTTCAGATAAATCAGACATCAAATTGCAAATGTATGATGACGAGTAGCAGGTTTTTAACACTTTTAAGTCCATAATTATTTGAGCAGGAGAATGGGGGAGATCTCAGTGTTTAGGGTTAAATGAAATTTAAAAGCCCATTTAAATGTATTAAATTTAAACTGTTTTTTCAACAGAAAAAAGTAAACTTGACCCACATCAAGCTATGTATAAATATTTCAAAGGTTTCCCAGACATCTTTAATACGATATTGTAAAAAAGTGGTGTTTTCCTTAGACATTATATTGTAATATTGCAAATATTCTTAATGAGGCTTAAGCTTACAAAGCAGAACCTAAATATTTTTAATTGCAACCAAAACACCGTGAATGTACATGTACTGTCTTTATCTGACAAGTGGACTATTTAGAGTCTCAGAGATGTTTCAACTGCAAAGAATCTATTAGTATGTAGAATAGTCCAACTTGTATTCAACATTAAGTTGGATAACACCCGGTCAACGTTTGCATCTCCACAATTATGAGGAACAAGTCAGGAGGTTTTTCTTGTGTATAAAGAAATGGAACCCCAACTTTTAAACAGCAAATAATGAAAACTGCTTAAGTTTAGTTGCAGGTTAAGAAAGAACTGGATGTCCCCTTTCCAGTAACACCCTGAAAATGAATCCATGATTGGTATTGTTGAACAGTTGAAATCCATAACTTGACAAAGAAGGAAATTATTTCTTTCAGTTTGTGTTGACCTATACCAATTTGAATATGGGGCCATTAGTGAGTTACCATGATGTTATGGATGCAATGTGTACATCAGGCACAAACGTTTTCCCACTGACTTTAACTGAACCCTGGCTTCATTTGCTGATTCCTTGATAAAGGTGTCAAAAAGAATACATTTTGGTTTTTAGGATGTCCGAAAAAGTTGCCTAATTTTTTCTTAACAACAAAAAGTGGGGGGAAGATTCAAAAGCCAATCCCCAATCAATCTGGGGGAGATGTATACCTATTCCCCCACCCAAGAATTTACACCCATGCTCCCACAAACTGTATTGACAGAGTGAATCAGGCATGTCTTAATTTAACTTTCCTTTTAAGTGACCATGTGTATGCATACATGAGCAATGCATATTTGCACAGTTTGCAAATTTGAGAACCCAGTTCAAGACATGAAGCTGATGCAAATAATATGTGTATTTTTCAAGCATTTGGTCAAATCTTTGCATCCTTAGGTATTGAAGGCTCAGGTATAATCTTCCTAGCCTTCCGTACCTGGCCCAGATGGATCTTCTTTTTTTCGGCTTCCTCCTCCTCATCCGTCTTTATTCCAAGATGTCGTAGGAAGATAGCCATCTTTGCTTTCTTCTTTGCCAGGTATTCTTCTCCTTCTCCTGGTTTCAGTCCAGTGAAACGGAATTTGGCAAGATGTTGCTCCCATTTTAGTCTCTTCTTCTTTTGTTTTCGCTGCTTTTGAATACGTAGCTTGAACTTGTTGCGCTTCTTCCATTTGAGATACTGGTGGCGATTCATTTTTCGGCGTCGCTTTTGAATGATGTTAGAAGCATGCTTTTTTGCATTATTTCCATTCACTGGGATATAGATCTCAAGGCAGGGATTTGAGACAGGGTCAAAGAATGATACAACAGGTGCTCTTGTAGGACAATCATGCAGTAACTGTGCAAATGGAGAGGGATCTAGGATGACTTTGGCTGTATGCAAATTCTCGGTATCTGGTAGCACTACGGGTAAGTCGGTGTTGAGTTTTAACTCCAGTGGAGACAAAGTCAGCCTCGTAAAAGACTGCTCCAGATCAAGGTCAGAGTTCGACAACAACCATGTTTGATGGGCAAAGTGTGCTTTTCCTTTGCCTGCTGTGATGCATTTAACCCCAGATGACTTTTTAATTGCAGCCAATTGGGAAAAAAACGGTTGATGACTGGCTGTCTGGTCACATCTGTTGCCATGGTTACAAGCTGATTCTGTCATACAGGCTGTACTAGTAAGGTTTGATGACAAACATCGTGTAATTTGTCCTGGAAAACAAAGTAAAAAATGAATACTTGTGAAATTGGCAAAGTTGAAAATGCATTCACACATTAAAATTGATCGAGATTTGTTGAGGATTCAAAGTTCATTTAGGCTTGAAGGCCCTGCAAAAATTTGATCAGCTGATGCCTTCAATGTCCAGATAAGTCACTCTGTAAAACTGGGTTATTTTGGGCTCCAATTTTTCCCATCCCTGTTATATTTGGCACATAACTTTTAAGATTTAGAACACATTCTTTAATTTCAAAGACTGATTACGTTAAGAAAATCACCTGCCAAGCAAATATAAATGATATATCCCCACACCGGTCAGGTGTAACACTAAACAGGGACAGAAAAATATTATACGTCAGATCCAAAATTTATAGAATTACTCTGATATGCATATAAATTGTGGGCACCTTTTGCCTATGTTTTCTTTACAGTTTCAACAGTGCATATTTAGGGAAAATGGCAAAATTTGGTCATACCTTGTAAGGTGGACCACCACAAAGTCTGTACAAGTGGCCGCCTTGTTGAAGACAGCAACTGATACATTGCACAAGATGCAATTCCAAGTCTGGTCAGAAAAAAGGAAACCTATAGTTTAGTAAGAATTATCATTAGTTTCAGATTGTGTGCAATATGGTACCTCTAGAACTGATGTAGTAGTATGGTA